TTAAAAATAGTAGGTCGTTACAGGGAGTTGGCGTATATTGGCGCAAAAATACCGAAAAAGCTCGTTCTCCGAGGAGAATTGAATTTTCCGGGATAGTGAGGGGTGATAGGAAAAATTTAAGGTCATATTCGGGTTTAGCAAGTCAAAATACATGAGAATCGATATATCAAACATGGAAATCAATTTTAAACCGTATTTTTAACACATGAGTCCGGGAAAGGTTTTACTCAAAAGGCGCGGAAAAATCGGCATTATCGGAGAACTGGAGGGTGATAAACCAAAACCTATGTCATATTCAGATTTAGCAGCTTAATATACATGACAGAATCGCTTTACCACGGGTCCAGTATAATTTATCAACATGAATTGCAATTTTGACAAAAATACGTCAAATTTGCTCATTTTCCCGGGAAAAAGTCGCTTTTCCGGAAAAGTAAGAGGTGATAAGAAAAAACAAAGGTCATTTTCGGACTCAGTAGATCAAAATACATCGAAATAGTACTATTTAGTACCTGGAAAAAATTTTACCTACATGTTACAGAGGTCATCAGTCGCAAAAACACCAAAAATGTCCATTTTTCCGGGTAAAATCGGCTTTTCCGGAAAATTTAAGGACGATGGACCAAAACGGAGATCATATTCGGATTTACCGTTTAAAAATACATGAGAATTATCTGATCTCGACCGAGAGACACTTTTGTTATTATTTTTATACATGTCAAAATAGGGTGGAAAAAATCTTCAGTCTTAAAAGCGCCAGAAATCACATTTGAAGTTAAGTTTCACGGTCAGGATGTTAATATTTTGTTAAATTAATATGTAAAATGAAATCAGCGACCCAAAAAATATAAGATCCAACACTTTTTATAACGGTGCACTGCATTTTCGAATTAAGTTCCGTTAAATCCAGTCTGTAGACCATAGTGCGACGGCCTCGGTGCGGTGCCGTAAGCAAATCTTAAATTCAGGCCTGTTTGACCTGGGAAAGATGGTGATTTCGTGACAGCTGCTGTAATATTTCGCTAGATTAGGTAATAATTGACTTTTCAGAGTACAGATCTGCTTAGGTCAATTAAGCACTATGTTTCTAGAGGCTTAGTTAATTGGGAATAGTATACGGATTTATTCGAAAATTTGAGTTTTTTCGAATACATGAAGCGCGTTAGTGCGACCTCTAAATATTCGAATTTTAAGCTGAAATTTTTTTTGGGACGTTTTTTAATGATTTCGACCCGATTGGTGATGAGGCACCGTAACATTTCAAAAGTCACAAAATATATTATGATCAACCATCAGTCTGTTATGGTCATGTTAAACAGTATGACAGAAGTATAACTGCCAAAGAAGATGTTTAATTTTGTTCCTATGAGAGGAAAGCGCCGAGCGAAAGGTTGGCGACAAGGAGTTTTACAAGAAATGGGAGAGAGTCCATACTACCCAATGGGCTGCGAGAAGACATTAGGATAAAACACTGTGGCAAATAGGTGTCACAGAGCACCACAGAGCGCTGTGAAAGCGGCTTTTGTGTAAATCACAAATTCAATCAGTGACTTTAACGCCCGACTATGAAAATAGAAAGATGTCAAAATAACCTTTTCCGGTTATTATTTTCATTTTATTGAATGATCTTTACGGGAACTACTTGTTGGAGATTCTATCGTTTAAAGCTTGAAGACTTAAAATGACAGTCTGTAATTGAACTGTAATTGACCATGGGAGGATAGGACACTGTGGCGGCTTTGTGTCGCAAAGTGCCGGGGAGCGCTATGAAACCGGCTCCTATACACGCAGTTTATTCGTCAGTCTAACTACATCTTGCAGTAAGGAACTACTAATTCTGACTCATTTAGAAACCACATTTGTGCCGTTAGTTTTCTTACGCAGATGGATGCTTTCCTAGATAGGCTAGAATAATTTCTTCCTCAATACAAAATGTTGTTCAATTTATTCTTGCCCAGATAACAATTTCAATGTTGACAGCAACGTAGAATTTCACGTTTCTCGTGAAACCTTCCACGTGGAAAGCAACGTGTATCGGAACGTGTAATTCTACGTGGATGTCAATGTATTAAGTACCGTTTCCGGAACGTTCCCGTTTACCGGAACGTTTCATTGTCCACGTCGCAGGAACTTTGCAGTGTATACATTGCAGGGACGTGGCAGTGACTACATTGCACGGACGTGCAGTAACATTAGAATCCACTTTTTTCGCAAAACATAGTGTGGCATTCATTTTTGGGCTTTTCACAGTTTGTGTGTCTCTCTCCCTCCTAACGTGTTTACGATTAGAAAATTTCGTTAATTATCTACTTATTCGCGATAAATGACGATTAATTAAAATACTATCATTCACTTCATAGGCACGACTTTCATTTAGGTGTACGTACTAGAGGAGGAATAAGCACTTTCAGTTTTAGAGTAGAACTTGAGGTCTACGGGTTAAAATTGTGGACGTTGACTTGAGATACAGAATCAGAAACAGACAAGTAAGTGCAAACCAGATAATTAACGAACTTTTATGTATGTAAAACACGGAGGTGTAAGCATCACTTCAAGCACAACATTAAACTGCGAAAATCACTTGGTACGCCAATATCAAGATAACAAATGGTGGACTCTCTCGAACAGTTGCAACCTTTGCTGATCAGACTGATTCCAGGAACTTGGTTGGTGCCGACATGGGCTGCGCATGCGCTGTAGACTTTTTGAGTAATCTGCGCCGCGAAATGCAGCGCCACCTAGTGGGCGCTCCTGGCCTGTGTCCTGCCTGTGCCGCCTTTTCTAGTGCAACGTGTTTTGGACTACGTTGAATTATACGTCCCGGAAACGTAGACAGCGAAACGGCGAAAGAGCGATTCTAACTTTTTAGGTTAGGTTTACAGAGCAACGTTCCTTTTCACGTTCCTGTTACGTCGCCAGTGAGACGTTTTCAGAGCACTCCTGTTCTTCCATGTTGATTACTACGTAGAAATTGTAAACGTTCCCGGAATGTTTCAAGGTCTACGTTGATTTCCACGTTGCTGAAACGTTCGATGTTATCTGGGTGGTTCCTACTTTTGAGCAATCATCACGGTGTCAGCTGATCACTTGTCTCTCATCTCTGATTTTCTCAAGGAATAAGAAAGAACTGAACTAACAGTTCACAGCAGTACTAAATTTTGCGATAAGGTTCGACTTTTTCGGGCTTATTTTAGAAATAAAATGTGTGTCATTAGTCTTACTTTACGAATACGCAATTTTATGGATAAAACAGGTATTGTAGCTCCCGGTTTCAGGACATTCTGTCAACGATTTTTTGTCCGCGCACCTTTTTTGTCCAGTACAGTTTACGCCCACACGTAAAATAAGCAACAGTGACTTGATTCAAGCGTTATATTTTGGTCGGTATGTAACATTATATTGGCAATATGGAAATGAGATATTGAGAGAGAAAGAGGTGTTGTTATGGTTGCTCATTTTCTAAATGAAATGTTATTACTTTCTCCTTTTGAATCATCTTTTGAAATTGTCATTGGTGAATATTTGTTTTTATTTCTATCCTTAAAATATTCGATGTACAATATACCGTATATATGTATAGGTACTTTTTTCATTTCTTTAATTTTTTCTTTACGAAATTATTACTTCATTTTGAAAACATTTATGTTTTTAAAACGTGGCAAATATTTGTAAAACTTTTTCCAAGCGATATTAATCTCAATGAGCCGCAGTTGTGCCGACAGAAACTGCAAAAATGAATAAAAGAGGAAAAAAAAACAAGAAACACGCAATCTTTAGTTTTAACCCATTTCTACATCGATCTTTAAGAGTCAAATACGTCAAATTTTGAGCGTTTGGTGCGCGTACACTTTGCTGCAGCACAATAAAAGCACAAAATGTAAAAGAAAAAATGAAAGTGCTTTAGAAATCCAAATCATTAAATTGACACAGAACCACCAATATTTAAAAAGCACACATTATATTATTATTCTCCTTTGATAAATTGATACATATTTTTCCCATCAATTTAAATGAGAATAATCAATGCAGAGTGTGCAATCATTTCAAAGTCATGAGTTAAAGAACGCTGACTATGCGAGTATAAATACCTATTAAAGCCTAACAGAGCGGAGCGGCGTGCTGCCAGCGGGAGAGGCTCACGGGCGCCTACAAACCTAAGTGGATACTTCACGCATCACACAATGCTTGAAGTATCCACTTAGGTTTGTAGGCGCCAATGCGCGTTACGAGCTGGCCGCCCGCCCGCCGTGCGGCGGCGCCTGAAGCAACTATTTCACAACAGAGGTGTTGCCCAGTAGTGTATGAAATTGAACGTATTAAGAATGACAGGCACCCTTTAAAAGTACAGATCTTTCCTCGCAAAATAAATCCAGATACTTATCGTACACAGAAAAAATCTAAGAGCCCTTAGCTGAGGCAAATATAGAGGTTTATCCGGTTCAGGTATAACAAGGTGGAAATTTCTTGAAAAATGATTAAGTCCTGTTACACCAAAGAGGTTTAGAGAGTTTTAGTGAATTTTGACTCATGGAATCGACGCTCCCCCATTTTTACCAAAACTCTCAACTATATATTATTCTCCGTTGGACCAAACAAACAAAACAAAAAAACAAGCAAACCCTCATTCTTCCAAGACGTTAAACATTTTCATCCAAAAACATCGTGAGCAATGGTCGTTTATGTTTACATGTGGGCCAATTAACTTTGGGTCTCAACAGGCACGTGGACCAAAACTCCCGTGCCGAAAAAACGCTTGGACGTAAAATACTGGAAAAAACAGGTGCGCGGACAAAAAATCGCTGACGAAATGTCCTTTAACCTAGCTCCCTTATTGCAAGATGTAGTCCAATGGATTTCTTGCTAAAAAATGTAAATAGAGGGGGAAGGGGTAGGACTGATTACATTCTTTTGTCATTTTTCTTTCAAAAATTGTATCAAACATTCTCCACCCATGCCTTTAAAATATTATTTTGCTTCAGGTGGTGTTACCTACTGCAAAGAGCCTTTACACCCCCTCGCCTCAGAAGTTCTACACGCCAACGACACCCAACTTCCAATTCAACGATTTCAACTACATCCCAAGCAAAGGGCAGGATTTGGCAGTCACCACTCTGGATAGCTTCAGGACGGCCACGCAGAAGCCAGCCATCGTTTCTTCGCACCCAAATAATCCGGGGCCAGTGCTCTTCCCGGAAAACAGGGACGAAGAGTCTAGCACGCCGAAACCAGAAGAGGCAGCCGTGAATTCGTTGCAGTCGGATTTCCTCACCAAGTACTTCACGTCGAAGTTAGAGGGCAGTGACTTTGGTGCTAGGTCGGAACTTAACTACTACAGGCGATAGTCCCGAGTCAGGTGAAACGTGATGATAGGTGGATTTTAATTCATGTCCGAGATACCAGATACCAAGTTATTTTACAGTAATTTCATCGATGACCAAAGTCGAAAAATTCTTATGCGGCTGTATGCCGCACAAGAATTCTTGATTGCAAAATTTGTTAGTTTGAGGATGGAGCAGAAAATTCAAATCCTTTTTTGGTACATTACTATTATCATTAAGGTCGCAGACATATTTCACCATGTTTCGACATTTTCAGTAAGCTGTCACGATAAAGAAAGCTATCGTTAGTTGAAGAAAATGGATGGTGTCATAGCCGCAAACCAAAGCTAACGTTAATGTGCCGTATACGCTATCGTGCCAAAAACTACCCGTTCGAAACCAGTATAAATTCATTTGTCGATATGGACTGGGTAGACAACGTTTGGTATAGAGGCTGGAACGGATAAAAATAGGTCTCAGTGATTTAATGGTGGTATCCGGTCATGCGATAAAATTTCCCTTAATTTGGTTTCTGAGCAGATTTTTCACTGCTGAAACAAATTCTCACCCAAATTGATTGAAGGAATCACTAATGTGCAAAAAATACAGAGGAAGGGGAGGGGGCAGAAATGAAAAATATTGGCCGTGAGATAAACTATCGTACACCTGTCTAATTGTGTAACGCCTAAGATAAGTGCCATTTATTCATTGATTTTTATGAATGAATGACACACATTTTTCTACGTTGAGCTTTTAATTTTTATTTTCACCTGACAATGACGTTACATTTGATAAAAAAAGGGGGAAACCCACCGTACTGGGGTATCTTCAATCGAAATCAATTGAATGAGAATTGAACTTGCTCAACAATCTGTTCTAGGAGGTTCATACGTTATCTTTTAACAGTATGGAACACCAATTGAAACTTTATGATTTCATATTTCAAAAAAAAAAAAAAAACCGGCTACGGCTTTCAATTTGAATTTTTCAAAATTTAGGGGATCCACGGTATATTTTTGCACTTTAGCAAAACCTTCAAGTAAATCATGTCAATTGAAATAACTGAGTGAATTCAATTATAGATTTTTGACAAAATGTTGTACAAACAACTTTTACCAATCCATTTTTAATCACGGACCATTTGGTCTATGCATTTTTGAACGGGAAAAATAAGTCACCCGTATCATCAGTTGTTTGGCCTAATGAGTGTTGCCTCGCGTCAAATGTCTATTTTATCCGGATTTATTTATTTTCGCCTTGTAACTGCACTTTGTCTTAATCGTAAAATTCATAGAAAGGAAACTGAGAAACTTTAAACCGTTTAACATATCTATTATTGACTTTAAAGCCCAACTTTTAATTGTCATTTTTTATTTTCAACGTGCGAATAAGTTCACCTCAACCCGTCACCCCTTTGAGTTTTAGGGACGTTTATTTCAAGAAATGTCTGCAGAAATTCCAAGGGTTTTCTTTGACCTGTGAGAAGTTGAGAAACTTTAATAAAGCACATCTGGAAAGATTAGCAAAGAGCTGAGATATCAAACATAACTTCCACCCATTTTCCATCTTTTTTCTTTTTTATGATTAATATTTAACTAATTCTCAAAAGTGCTGTCACTTAAAATCAATTTATGAGCAAAAGTTTTGGCAAGCCATGTTTTGAATGAGTTCTGAAGTACATTATGATCTATAATGCAGCCTTTGACTGTTGAGGAGCAATGGATGAAAACAAACATTTGCTCCCTTCCCCACCCCTGTACTCTGCAATGACCAAATAGCATCTGCCAGCATCTTTTGTGTAGAAATTTTATGGCTCTGCCAGATATTGTGACAAATTAACGCTTTTAAAAACTTTCTCTGTACGCGATGAGGAGTTCGGACACAAGAAGTAAAATTATCGCCCGAGTCTGTGATAAAGGATGAGTCCAGATAGTTACCTAATCAGATCTCTCCGAAGCAAATCCCAGCCAAATTTCATTGCCCCTCGGGGCGTCAATAAAAGGCTCAATTATGTTTCAAAGTAAGAAATCCAAGTCCAAAAACTAGATTGCTCGTGGACAGTGATGGTATCAATTCAAATTTATTCTAAACATTACTTCCATTCATGGCTCATTGTGAAACAGCATCGAGTGACCTACGATCGTCTTTAATCGCCGATCTGGACGTATCTATACGTATTTAAGATACTTTACGATTACTCGCCATCGGCACTCCGGTCGGATTCTGAGAAGGGCTCTGTTCTTAATTGTTTTATATCTGAAGCTCAGGTGTGGCCTCATTGGTTGAAGCGTGCAAAAGCTATTGCTACCGGGTAAAGATGTTGCGTAAGATGTGCAAAAATAAGCGTGTATTAAACGCACGGTTGCCGCGAAGCCGTTGAAATTTTGACTAGACTCCTGATTCATATTATTTTCGTATGATGAATAGAGTCCATTAGCCATCCAAGTTTTTAGGATACATAAACATAGCTCTCAAAACGAGGAATTCCTGTCACAAATCAATCAAAGGAATATAAATCGCAGGAGTTCGATTCGCTGTGCTATTAAGATCACCGAAAAATCCAAAAACCTGATTTGTTTCGAATCAATACTCGTTTTCATTTTACTGCATTTTGTGATGAGGAATCCATACCAACGCATTGACATGAGAATTGTGCAACTTGTTTCATATTTCGACAAAACTGCGAAAGTATAACCAGTTCCCATTCATAAAACAATGTCAAATTAATGAGAAAGATTTCCTGTCATTCTCAGTTTTTGATCTGCTTTGTATAATTGATTATGAAATGTAGAAGTTGTACGAATTTTGAAATATTGCAATGCGAGTGTTCTTCATTGCAAAGGCTTGCTCTAAATTTATTTATTTTTTTGGGGGTAAGTTGGTTCGTATCCGCGATGTCCAACTCAATATCGGATTAGTAAAATTAAGAGACGAGACCCTAATTACTTTTGCGTCGCAAACTCTACAACACGCACAAAATGTTCGCTAGAGTGCAATGAATCGCGCGAGTCAAACGCTGCGAGTGCGGTTCTCTCGCGCGAGCGCACAGTATGCTACCGTGCTAAGGAAAAACGCCGTATAAACCTTCAGGCGTTGCCAAATTTCCTCTGATAGAAAACGAACTCATTGAGAAAGTTGTAAATATTTTTCCCCCAATTTTTCAGAAAATTTTGTTCGCAATTCAACCTTTAATATCTGAAAATTTTAAGGAAAAATACTCATAACTTTATTGCAAAATACATTTTTTATCAGGGGAAATTTGGCAACATGCGAATGTTCATACGGCGTTTTTCCTTAGCACGGCAGTAGTGGCCGAATCCGAGGGCGGAGGTTTTCAGTCTCATTAAAGCCTCCTTTCTTTCGTTTTATCTTTCTATCTCTCCGGCCGTCCTATTCCTCCTGTTCCAGCCTCCTCATTGTGTCTGCGAATTTTTCAGGCCTTTCTACGCGGTCCTCGTCCGTTATGGGTCTGAGCGTATTGCTCAATTTTCACTCCTCTCCGATGTACCCGTGCCCTACTCCCCGATCTCGATCCCGATTTAATTGATGCTCAAAATTAGGTCATCCGCGTTGGAGCAACCTGTAAGGAAGTCGCCACTCGCACACAGGATTTTGAAATAGGAACCTAAAGGGAACCGATAAAATTACCACTATTCCAATGAGAAAAATCGATTTTTCTTCATTTGTTTCTTCTTTTCAAAGTTTTTCATTAACTATCATACATGACGACGCCACCACGGTCATAATTAGTTGGTTTCTCAATTAATTACGACAATAAGCAACTAGACTATTTACGTCGGAGACTAGGAAATTAATTAAATTTTGAGATTTACCTGTGTAAAGAGCTTTAAAATTTTGGTAGTTACTTTTGGATTATCTGAGCTTAAACGATAGGTGTTTGGAGGGAGGTATTTTGAATTTGATCATGAGAGTCTAAATGCAGGAATGACATTTTAACATAAAACTTGTCACGAATGTTCAAGAGACAACGTCAGAGTATTTATTGCAGGAAAATATCGGCCGTAAACACCAATTTTCATTTGGATCCATTGAATTGAGGAAAAATGACTGATTTTTGCAACATCTTGTAATGCCCCAATATTAATTTATTATTCCTCAATTTACTACATCAAGCTAATTGTCTGTAAGACCAATCTAGTCACCAAAGAGCGAAATGTTAACATTTTTCCTTTTTCCTCATTCAGGTTGAGTTTGCACATCGAAACCTTTTTCCTCGGACTTTTTTCGCCGATTGCCTGCACCATGTCTTTCTCAGCGCCTCAACCACTCCTCTCGTTCCTCCTTTCCCCGCTGTGTGTCTTTATCTCTCGAGCGTTCAAGTCTTAACCACGCGTGCACGCACGGGATTTTGCAGAGTACTACAGGATACTCCCTCGGTGTTGCCGAAATTTCCAAATCTCAAACGGTAACGCTTAACGCTGGACGTGGAGGCATTTTATCGGCCAAGTTGACAACCGTTATCGGCCAATTTTCTTGTTAGTTCGGTTGAAAACACGAGCGTTGTACTGGCCTGTTTTCTGCGACGAAGCTAAACATGTTGCCGGTAGTCTCTGGGAGGGGTCTAAAAAATCGGTGCGAAACCGAGGCATACGCTTGAAAACCTAACTTAATGGCTTCGGAATTTCAAAACGAGTCTGTCGCAATGTTTTATTCTGAGGGAAGATTGGTTCGTGGTCCAGGAGGAAAGGAAGGGCAGAGTGACTACACATTTGTTATAAATACCCTCTTTTGAGGATTAGGGTTGTGCGATTCGAGGCAAACATTTTCTCAAAAGAGCTTTTTGTAGACGAGGAGATTTTTCGGGTTTCAGGATGATTATCGACCGTATTGAGGAATTCTGTCCTTAAAGTTGAGTCACAATATTGAGGCACGATTTTCTTAAATGCCGAGTTTCAATCCCCATTATAACAAAATACCTACTGATTTTTTAAAAAAGGCATAATATAGAGCCAGCAATCCCTTGCAATGACTTATACCGTTTTCATATTAGAAATACTAGGACTTATATTAGTATTTGCATCCAAATCTCACTTTGTCGAGAATCAGGTGCCACAGAGAAAAAGCTATGACTTGTAAACCAATTAGTGGCTCATATGCAACACCGCCAATCTTCGTAAATGCAGCATGTAATAATAACACACATATAACTTAGTGATGGTATACATATATACCTCAGTATGGTACGAGATACCTCAGTGTGGCTCACAGATCGAGAATCATTAGTTCATTTACGACTATTAGTGGTGTTTCACATGAACCACTAGTTGGTTTATAAAACCATAGATTTTTCTCCCTGTGACCTTATGGTGAAATCTGTAATTTATTACAGTGTTCACTTGAGAAAAAAGTCGCTTGGATCTAGAGTCCAGACGTTTAATAACATTGACAAGAAAAAATACTCTTGATTCAATCGGATTTTTCCTTCAATCGAAGAACCAAACTTTATGTTTCAAGCGCATTTCCTTTAGATTCAAGAAAAAATCCGATAGAATGAAGAGTCCTTTTCCCAGTCAATGTTTTTAAGAGTCTGTACTCTAGCGTTCATTATGAAAAAAGAGGAAGCAGAAGGGGAAAAAACCATTGATGGTGAGAAGAATCAGATGCGGTGTTAAGGCTAAAATTTCGGAAAGTTGGTTGGCAGCCCTGCAGAACTTGAAAGTAAATTGAGCAAGTCGGTAGCGTTTGCATGATGATATCAAGAGCGCGGGAACTTGCTGTCCGATTATCAGCGCGGCGCGTTAGCTCACCCGTCAGCGTTCGATTCCGCTTGTCGGAACCTAATTCGCACAAAAATTGACTTCGCGAACGAGTCGCAACGTAGAAAAATCATGATGTAAATCCGCTCATTTCATTTCCGAATTCGTGGTGATGGACAGCACGACTGCGCAACCGGATTGCGCGCGAAAAATAAGTCGGTCAAAAGCAACAGCCGGGAGAATATTGAAGGTAATGGAAATAATTCAAACTTGATGAACTGCGTTTAGGGCAGGGGCAAATATGCTATTTGTGTTTATGTAATTCGACCATATGAAAATACATATCTCTCGCGAATTAATAGGCTTTGTTGCAGCATTAATAGTCAAAACTCTAATCGAGGCGCGTCCGTTGCGCACTTTCAGTTGAGTGTTATAGTCACCCGTAATCGTCTTGTTTTTGGTAGGTCGATTGGCCGGAGATTTCGGGAATGATACAAGAGGGGGATTAAAGCGCGCCGCTTCATCTCTACCCAAAATATGAAAAATTCTGACTTTAAACTTAAAAAGGGCATTGAAAACTGTAAAAATTTAGTGTAGCAAGCGTTCGGTTATCATCGGAACGAACTTCGTTTGTTA